TTATTAACAACAATTAAAAACTTAAACTAGTGTCAGTAATAATAATAATAATAATAATAATAATAATAATAATAATAATAATAATAATAATAATAATAAATTATCCATAACAATAGTAACAATAATGAGAGTAATGAGAATTGGATGATGACTATGAAGAGGACTACGACGACAATCACGATGATAATGATCACGACGATGGTGAATGTAATGATGAGTGATGATAATTATAATAATAATTCTGGGCTAGTCGAGTGGCCAAGCGGTGGGCAGGGACCAGGGGTGGCCCAGGTTCAGTTGCTAGAACAAATTCTTCTCGGATAACGACTTAAAACGGAGCTCCAGTGTGTATACTGGCTCGTGGTTTCAGTAACTCAATTAGTATTGAAAAACTTTTATTTCTCTACACAGCAATATCAGGAACAATAAGACAACGGTTTACTTTACAAGTAAAAAGAAATATGCATACAAATATGTATTATTTTGAATTAAAACACTGATGGTACTAGGCCTACTACTATAGTACTACTACTACTACTACTACTACTACTAATAACAACAATTTAATAATGATATTTTATAATAATTTCCGCATATAAATAAATATAATGTATAATGTATATAATAATAATTATTATTCACGATTATTCATGATGTAATCAACAATTTTATTTTCAAGTTATATGGCTATGTGGGAAATGAGGTAAGAAATAGGCCTAACTAGTAATTCACAGGCCTTCATAATAATAATAATAATAATAATAATAATAATTCCTAATACACATTATATTAATTATAACATTTGAGGTAGTAACAATAATAAAAGCAACAATAGTAATACACGATCATGGCATGATAACATTGTTCAGATAACGTGAATGCCACACAATGAACAGATTACGTTTCTTATGACAGATTATCAATAACTTTTCTAAAAAAATATTACTACAAAGCTTGATCTCGCATTTTATGGTCTCAAATTTAAACACGGATTACGTATACAATTAAAAAAAATTATGTAACATGGATGGACCTTTTCTGAATTTTAGCTGATTTAAATATGCAATTAAATTTTCTCTGCTTTGCATTATAAATAAGCCACACATATTATTATTATTATTATTATTATTATTATTATTATTATTATTATTATTATTGTTATTATTATTATTACAATACTATTTGTAAAGTAAAATGTATTCATTTCTCATAATCATAATCAAATCAAATATACAAACGACTTGATAAACTTTTAAATTATAAACGATAGTATTAATGGAACAAAAGTCGTCGAGGTTCAAAATAAAGGTTCCCATATAAACTATAAAGCTGTGAGGTAAGCATAGCTAATTAATTGATTATTTCATTTCA